AGAGTGCATATATAGCGATATATAGCTGCATAGCATGTAGCTCCTGCTATCTATGTCAGAGAGACATCAAGATCATCACATGCCCACATGTCATCCACAAACCGTTTCAGGATTTGGATGTGGGCGATCCGCGTCTCTGACTCCTCCGCAAGATCGCTCGAGGCGTCACAGCGCCTCCGGCAAGAGGCGGAGCAAGCCACCCTGCAGGCGAGACGAGTAGCGTCCTTGCTCCTAGTAGTGATGCCAGGAGCCCCTAGTAGTTGCAAGACGAAAATAGTTCAACCTAATAGCAATGACCTCCAACCTATGCATGTCCAATGGGGAGCCCTTTTGGGCACACTAATGTGGATATCCCGGTGATTTCGTGATCAGTACCCGTTCATGTTTCTGTCGTTCGTTTGAATCGAAGCCTTGAAAAATACGAAAAACTCTGTTGGGTCACTCGCAACCTTGGTTGAAACGCTGTTTAGAAGACCTGGGGTTACCTCCTACAACTACCTCCTACAACGTCCAACACCCTCACACTACTGTACATCCTTTAGTCCTACAGCCCATCCACAACTTTTGATCCTTTATCATGTGTTCTTTGTCTTTAATCTGAGGATTCATACTTGTGAGTCGCCAAATAATTAGTGTAGATACACAACTGTTGAAATTCCTTTGAAGTCATGGGATTGGGAATCTGGGACTGTGTCACATTTTCCAAGGTGACAATGTACTATATGTAATATTATGTAAGTAACATCAATCTTTGTTCTCTACAGAAGCAACCACACGGTCGCCGGCCTCCTTGCAGGGCATGCAAGAGGCAGCACACCATCTGTGTAAAAGTAACAATTAGCATGATATCTGCCAATGCATCAGTGCGCAAAACAAGCGAAGCCGCAGACAAGTAAGGAACATTAAGTAACCACACTTAGGCACAAAGCAAGTATGCACGACCCGGATTTGATCTGGAAAAAGATGCCGTGCTTGCAAGAACGAGATGGTAGATTTGGATGATCAGGTGTTGCCAGAAACCGGCGTTTATGGTTATGGGAGCAGATGTTGGTTCTCCCCTTGTTGTCAGGTGCAGGCCCGGTACAATGAGATTCTCGTGGCCTTGGAAGAGCCCTGTGCCCTCCACTTCGAGGTGCTTCTAAACCAACCTAAAAGAAACTATTTAGACCGTGTTTTTCATATTTGTTATTTTTTCTTTGTTTCTGCAGTAATGGCAATGACCTCCAACCTAATAGAGATGGCCTCCAACCTAGAAGCGATGGCCTCCACAGGTGGGTTTTGTCAGAGCTCATCATGTTCGATACATGCAATGATACACCATTTGCTTCATTCATCCGTCTGCTTCAAACCCACGCGCTGAGCCGCTGTCAGGACTACATGCTGGATGACGACCACCCAAAAGTACATGGACTCAACTTGTGGAGGATTCAAATGGACTCGAACATATTTTAGAGACATGGAGTGACTGCAAAAGACTCGAATAGTGGTTGCAAGCCGTTTATCAAGCTATTGTATGTTAGTCCAACGTGCACTTCCACGAAGGCACCGAACATTTAAGCTGAGCATCTGACGCCTGAGGTCAGAGCGCATGTCCAGTTGATGAAGTCCTTACAGCGAAAGTCGGCAGCAAACTTGGATGGAAACCCGACACCTTCCGAGTGAAATTTGCGCAATTTGTATTTGATTTGTGTTTGTTTTCTTTTTTTTAGGCGGGGTAGGCCGAGAAGAAGTAGTAGCTAGGTGCCAGGTTTGCTAGCAGAAGCTAGGTAGCTAGTAGCTTAAGTAGCCACTACTGACAGGACGCAGGATAGCTCACGCTTCTTCAAGAAGCTACTTAAGCTACTAGCTACCTTCGTTCCTAGATTTAGGGAAACGTAAGTCATTTACTTTCTTGCTTTGGGATCTCCAGAAAGGCCGTCACAGGGTGGGGGCAGACAATTACAATCGAGTATGAAAGTTCTCGAGCTTTGAGCGCCAGGTGGGCTTTGTCAACTTTAAAGCTGTGGGTGATGCTTGAGGTGGCTTGTTTTCGCCCAGGTTTACACCAAGAAACGAGGAGCAAAGCAGGATTGGCTTGAAAAGTATGACAGTCACCGAACGAGGACTGCATGGGAAGTGTATCACTCGAGTCTTACTTGTGCAGAGTTTGGATGAATCACAAGGTTTCTGTTCATCAGTGTTACTCACCACCTACAAGACGAATCTATTGAGCATAACAAGTCTTCGGGCAGTTTGGACACCACGCTACTGGCAAGCACTGACTACACAATGCACATCAAATCACCGAATCCCATATTATCAAAGGCGCTTCAATCCTGTATACAATCGCTTCATAACGCCCCTTGCCCACAGATTGCAGTTGTCGCCTTGTCACGAAAGCTAGCGAAGCTAGCTGGAGTTACTCTTGCGATAGCAAGGTTTCTTTCGACCGGGTGCAAATCCTAACCCCTGATTTTTCAGGTCGAAGACCCCCCCCCCCTCCCTCCTCCCCTCTCCCCTCTCCCCTCTCCCCTCTCCCCACCCCACCTCCCCTCTCCTCCTCCTTGTCTTCCTCCCACTTCCTCCCACCTTCCCTCCCTCCCTCCCTCCTCCCTCTTCGTAAGTTCGACTCCGTCCTGTCGTCGCTCTTTGGCATGCGGTTAGCGTTGCGTATCTTGCGGCCGCACTCGCTCACTCTCACTGTCTCACTGTCTCACTGTCTCTCTCTCTCTCTCATCTCTCTCATCTCTCTCATCTCTCTCATCTCTTTCTCATCTCTCTCATCTCTCTCTCCTCTCTCTCTCTCTCTCTGTCTCTCGTCTTTCCGTCTCTCTTCTCTCTCTTCTCTCGCAGGAGGATCCGGGCAAAGAGCCACATATAAAGGACTCTTCACCCCTGCCTCCAAAAAGAGCGCCGTGTTTTTTCCTACCTCGCTGCCCTCCACTTTCCCATTCTGGAGCGCTAGCTTTCGCCCCCCCCCTTGGCCTCAAGTCATGTTTCTGAAGACCTCGGTCTCAGATACCCTCAGTCTCTTCCTTTTTGCGCTTGGTGTTCTAATTTCTGGGCAGTCAAATCTGCTCCAATCTTTTTGTCATCTCCGGTAGTATGAACTAATATGACCTACCCGGGTGGTTGTGTCAAGCGACTTGCATGCAGCTACATTGTGCTTGTTTGGGATGAGAACTCTGATAGTGGCTTGGGGGGTCCCTAACTCAAGTGGCCCAGGATTTATAATATGTCCTTTTCTAGGCGCTATCGTTTGGAGCTGTCGCACTCCATGTTGTTCCTTACACACGACAGGAACGACTACAAGTACGACCGCCCCTATACCGCTGTGCGGGATGCGGAGTTCCTCCAGGTCGCGAAAGACCAAAGAAAAACACAAGTCTCTTATCATGCACCAACACCTGGTTTTTACAGTAACTTGGAGGATTCATTAACGCCGACAAAAGCACGTGATGTCCATTTAGCAGGAAGCCCAGGGTTCCTTAGAATGATATAGTTTAATAAAACATATGGTTGTTGCCTTGGCTGTGCCCAGACTTTTGTACCAACACATCACGTTCATGAAAGAATGTGTGTCAAAAGCTGGAAGTTGTTCTTCTACGCCAAAGCTGGCAAAGCTGAACCAGAAAAGCAATGACACTTGGAACGAGTTGGTCTCTTTTGCAGTTTATGCTTTGCGTTTCTTTCTGGAGACGTCAGGTTTTGAACGAGCGCGAAAAAGAGCTGCTCGATTTGAAGTGCCGTTCTCTTAGACCATTCAGCCCAGCAAGTCATTCTACTGGCGCTGGCCTCCAACCTATCTATCATCAAACAAATCGTTTATATGTTGGTTTACCTTTTCTCAGTGCGCCATTTTGCCGATGTATGCTTTGTTTCGCTGCAACTTCGGTCAAGCCATGTTGGTGGGGTGCTTTGAAGGCCTCCAGTGAAGGTGCTGGGTCAGAACTGGGTACAGATGCCTCGGGATGTGGGTTGTCCAAGGTTTGGACATCATGAATGAGCAGGGCAAGGACTTGCTTTCACGAAAAGAGCTTGTGTCCATAGGTCGTGTTCATGGGAGAACTCACAGGAACTCTACACATAGAAATAGAAACCCAAAACTTTTGTATTCACGCCGACCCCCAATCCAACCAACCAAGCACCATAGAAACATACATCAGATGTATCGGAATTCATGGAATGGAATGCCTTGAATCGGCTGGCCGCCTGGCCGCAGCGCCGCTCGGCCATTCTTTCCCCAAAAGGTTGTCCACTGAGTCCACGGTTGCGTCCAGGGAGTTTACGAACTGCTGAGAGCACTGCTCATACGATGCACATACATCTCACTGCGCCATTGCGCCTGGTCTCATGCCGTGTCTCGTCCGCGGGCCTGTAGCCTCTCATCTAAGACTCCTCATGGAGCTTCCCTTGTCTCTCTTTCACGTTGATCCATTTTTGTACCAACATCTTAAAGGGTTCATGAAAACGTACATCAATTTGCCCAATGGCGGCCCCTTTGAGAGACTTTGAGATCTTTGAGAGGATCCACGCTTGGTGCCCATGCTTTGGGAGCTCAGTCAAAGCGTTGAACGAGTTCCAGGCACGCTATGTGACGGTGCAAAGTCTTGTTGTGCAGAGACGCAAGTCAACTGAGTTGCACTCAACAGGGACCAGGCGCTATACGAGCCTTGCTGATTCTTGTGTGGGCGACAACAAACTCCTAAGTTGATGGGACAAGGCTTCCAATGACAAGGAAACTTCAGATTTTAATACGCCCCAGAGCAGCACGAGGGCCAGCACTGGTACACTGGTCATTCAGAAGGTTGGACTCAATCTGTTCGATCCCGCTTTCAGCTACTCCCAGTGCACAGGAGTGCGTGTCCGAAGAGATCGCCAGAACTATGCTACCTGCATCCTGCCAGGCGGGATTGCTGCCGGATGCCATCCAACTTTTTCGTCGAAGTGTGGATGTTCGTTTGGAAAACGAGAACCTCTCACTTTGCATCGCAAACATTTGCAAATCTGTAGCCGTTTTCGGGCCGAAACCAGTTCATCGCGCCGCTAGCGCTGCCATGGCCATCACATCGCTGCGCCGGATCCGCGCAAAGACCGTTCGGTCGGCCGTGGCATCCGTGGCCTTGGGCGAACGGCTGCCGAATGCTGCATATGTCGCCACTGGCGCACTCTTGCTCTTCAGTTGCCCGAGGCATAGGGAAACGTATGCGTTTTCTGTCGGGAATTTCACAGAGAACCACCCAAAACTAGTGTCGAAAGGGGCACAGCTTTCTTCATACTTACTTTGTCTTAATATGTTTGATCTCTTGCTGCAATCAACGCACTCAGCAAGTTAAGGTTTGAGTCTCATCCTGTGGCTTGGCAAAATGGGACAGATTCCTCCGAACCTCAGGTTGAAAAGCGCTAGTGGCTCCAAAAGGCATTCGCCACTTGTTAATAGTAGTTTTGCAGGTTACTTGTGCGGAGCAGAGTGGAGAGCTTACAGAATGGTCATTGATTCAATGTAGAAAAGCCTACTTGGAGTGGACTACAGAGAAGCAAGTTCCGTTCTTGCACTGAGGTTCCCTTCACAGGACAGTAGTGCATCACGCGAGTTGGCTGGCAAGGCCTTGCGTCAATTTGCTTGGTGTGGGCAGAAGATTGTGGGTTTCACGACACTAGCAGTCTTTGGCTGTTTCATGCTTGCATTGACCCCAGCCTTGTCATTGTTTGTCGTTCATTTGGATTTGATAGGAAGCACGCATTCGACCGTTTGCGTCGACAGTCGATAGTCGGTCTGCGTTTGTCGAATCGACTCTCGGAACAGGCGACCTGCAAAGTTTGTCACGGCCGAGCACTCCTTGGCCTTCGCAGCTTTGTGTTGCTGCTCTTCACTTTGAGTGGAGTGATGCCATGGCTGAAGAACAAAATCATCCCTCAAATCGTCGACAGGAAGCAGTTTGAGGCAAGTCTTGAGCTTATAGATGTTGTTTTGTTCTTCCATTTTCATTGATGGTGAAACCAGAGGGTGGTCACTTTCAATCAATCCACATCACATTCACAGCCAATGTTCAATCTTTGAACTTGAAGCACAGCTAATCACACCATGCTCGAACATTGGTTCATCTCACGTCATGTCCCAAGCACATGTAGAGGCCAGCTTCAATTTGGATAAGTACTATGGCTTTGCTGCACAGGCCGTTTGCTGTTACAGATCTGAGTAATTGGACGACTTGAACAAGGCGATTAGTAGCGTCCTTGCTCCTAGTAGCGATGCCCTTTGCTCCTAGTAGCGTCCTTGTTCCTAGTAGCGATGCCAGGAGCCCCTAGTAGTTTCTTGTTCCTAGTAGCTTTGTTCCCGTGCGAGCTCTTGAGCTGTGAAAAATCCCTGGCAGATTCTGTACCATTTTGTGCTGAGCGGTTGCTTTGCGACCGCCATCTACACAAGGCTGGGACGATCTTCCGCTTGAGCATCAGCCACAATCGAAGAAATTGAAGTTAAGGGTTCAGGGTTCAAGAAAGTGTTTGCAGCATCAATTGATGTCTTAAAAGATCCAAAGCCCCAAAGCCTTCAAACCACGCTGTTGCAATTTTGTAGCGTGCTGCATCCGCCCTTTGCCAGTGACAACACTCTCTACCACTTGGCTACACTTGCAGAGCCTGCCTATTGCACGTTCGACATCCTTCTGCTGCTGTTTACAGGCCAGCTGCACATTCGGTTCATTGTTCGAGGCAAATTCCAACAAGTTTGACTGTGGGTTGGATGCTTGAACAATTTGCATATACATGTTTTTTACCAACGCTCATACGAGTTGAGGTTCACAGAATCAGATCTTCATGTGTGGCTACTTGTAGGCTCAACGCTATCTCACATCCTTGACATGCTGATGGGGCACTACGATGTAAGGACAAAATCTTGCTCCACCCACAGCGTACTAATAAAGAGAAGCCCCGGTGTGATATCCAGGAGTTCGGAAATCTCGCATGGTATGAGAGAATTCGTCCATCAACACGAGACGGTGCGAATTGATGCAAGTTGTCATAATCCTTCTTCCAACCCATCCGATCATCTGCAGCTTGAGGTGTGTCTTTCACTCACTGGCAACTCAAGCCGCTGCTGGTGCACCACACCATCTCCTGTGCTTGTTGTCATGCATTAATGATGCTTGCCTTAAGTTGGTGGGATTATTCTGTTGGGGAGGAAACCACACACCTGGACAGATGGTGTAACTTGTGTTTCATTGTTGTACGTACTTGTTACACATTGTTGCACCGGTATCTCAAACAAATCTGGTCCGGAAAGCTTTCTCAAGATTTGTATGCAGTGGTTCGCTACAGGTGCATGAACTTCAGGAAATGTCAAAGGAATTCAATGGCATAATTAGTGAAAGAAGTCCGTGTATGGGGTGCACAGAGTCAAACAGACAGAAGCGATTAAGTTATGTCCGACTCAGCTTTTGAAAATGCAATGATCGATATGGAGCTTCCCAACAACGAGTTCATTTGCAGTGACTCAATAGTCATACGGTTGGAATCCATGTTGGATACGAGTTGCTGGAACTTCTTCGTGGATACCATCGGTCACCCTCAGGTATGGAATCCCTGAATCGATGTACGGGAAGCTCTTGCAGCTCGTCTTTCATTTGTCCAGCGGCTTTTGCTTGGGCATTGCCAACCTGCTGCAGACGCCGAGCTTGAAGCTTTCCACCCTCCAGAGGCAGACGTAAAAATGCACAAAAAAAAGAACCGGTAAAGCCATCTTGTCAAACATTCGGAAAGATCAGAGTACCAGCTTTGGCCAAACTTAGCAATTCTGGAGCCAGGCTTTGGTTGCAGGTGGTGTCTATGATGTTCTGGGCAGCGACTCGTGTTGGGTTGGTCTTTCTGTTGGGCATTTGCACTTTGATGGATGCAGCCCGGATCCTTGGAAGCGACGCTATTAGTAGCTCCTGGCCTTACTGCTAGGAGCAAGAAGCTACGACCGTAGCAAGACCTAAGGATTCACCCCGCCCAGTACCGACAAGTTATGGTGGAGCTGAACGCTGCAGCTATTGGCTCCTTCGCGTTTGTGGCTGGCCTGAAAATAACAACAATCATTCATAATTATCATCAAATGAGCCAGTTGCATCAGAACAGGCTCCCTCATTCTTTGTGTATACATTGCAGGAAAGTTGACGTTGTGTTGACAAAAACCGTTATGGTGACAGACTCGGACCCTCAGGTTATTTTGCAAGTTGTTGAAGTAGGTGTTATCCACGGCGCAGACGAGTTGTAGGTTCTGAGCGGATAGGGAACCGACGAACCAATGAGCCAATGAACAAGCTTTAAAGATCCGCCTGGTTGGAGTTCCGTCCGAACTCGAAGAGTCTTGGTTTCACAGAGCCGAAGAAGGCCGATTGGAGTAAGACCGTCAGGTGGTGATAAAGACGCCGATCATTACGAGGGCTTTGCAGGAGGCCATTCAAGAGAGCCTTGGCAAAGGGCGGCGAGTGACGAGGGTGCACGAAAGATCATGAGGGTGATGATTTTCTTCAGTTTCTAATAGGGTTTGGCTGGTTTGCTATTTGATCTAAGTTGCTTGGCAGAACTGATCAAATCCACTTTTGAAATGTTCTTTCACAATTCAAAATCCTTCTTTCCCTCTCTTTTCCTTCAAGGTATCAACAAGACAGGCGCGATCTTGAAGTTGGTCTGAACCAAAGCCCCAGGATTTGGAGCCGAGGAGCTGAACAGGAATTTGGAGCCCTAGTAGTAAGGCCAGGAGCCCCTAGTAGCGTCCTTGTTTCTAGTAGCGATGCCAGGAGCCCCTAGTGGCGATCCCATGATTTGACTGGAATTTGGACCACAGAGCTGGTGTCGTGTACAGTCACAGGCATAGATTTGCACAGTTCCAAGCCACGGTCGACCGTAAGCCGTGCGTAGACTGAAGAATATTCCGTCACAAGAGACTCGTATCAAGCACTAGATTTGTCGTGATGTGGGTTGTTGCCATGGTGCACGACAACCGGGGTCAAGCAATGCTTGACTGCTTGCCCTCGCTCCACAAAACTTATGTATAGAGTTGGAGTGATTTGGCCTGCTGAGGGAATCCAGTTGAATATTGCATGTATGTTCGGAAGCAGAGATATCACAACTGGAGTCCTTTCTTTAGGGCGTGGGAATACTTGGAGGCTCTTGAATTCTTTGTCGTGACAATGTCTTTGAAGGTCCTGTGAGGCCTGTATAGTGCGCAGCAATCATCGACCGATGATTGAATCGGAAGCTGCTTTCTGTTGCTGACAGACAAGCGCACCAAAAGCCCGTGGGGTCGACTTGAAGTAATGAGTCCGAAATACATTTGACTTCTGACAACTTACAGTAGTGGGAGCGTATATTCGATGGTTTTAAGATGCACAAAACACAAACAAAACCTGGCAGGTTGACTTCACTTGATTTTTCTTGTCGCAACTTGTGGCTTGCTTTCCTTGCCAAATGACACGGATTCAAGATGGGTACATCGACATGTCACCATTTGTACTGACTTCTTACCCTAATTGCGCCCTTTCAGCTCTCATTCAAAAAAGACAATGCAAAGGACCTTCCCATACGCTGGCTACAGTCTTGCACTGCTGCCACAACTATGAGTCGCTCCATTTCGCAGCCAGTAACGCTTGACCAATGTGGCCAGGGATGCTGTGGCACTCCAGTCGACACCGTCAGGGTGCCAAGGAATGCCAGAATCGTTTTGTTACGAGCATTTCGAAGAGCATCGAAGCAAAGCATTCGCTCAGTCAACTTCTTGTGAGCAATTCGTGTCGCAGCTTAGCACGAGTTGGTCCATTTCCGGCGGAGAATGAGGCCCTATGGTCGGGTCAAAAGCACTTAGGCTGGGTGCTGGGCATCGAGAAGCTAGCGTTGCAGGGCATATTTTCGGAGGCCGGCTTCGTCGCTTCGGCGATCTTCAGCAGGACACACCAGGTTTCAATAAAGGAAAAAGATGAAAAGGATATATTGCTTCTAGGTTGGAGGCCATCGCCAAAAGAAAAAGAAGAACATATTAAGAAAATGAAATATAATGAAATACTGGACAAAACATATACAACCTCAATTGAAAACTATGTGTTCCACGTTCGCAGTGCCTGCGCCAGGACCTGAAAGACATGGACTTCCCTCAGAAATTGCTGGGAGATTTAGCGGGCAATGCGTTCACCACGCACGTGCCTAAGTGAATTGAGAGGTCTCCACATCCCTTGACTGGTTTGAATCTCACAACTTCAGGATGTCATGAGAAGATAAGGAATTTGTTCAAGGGCACAAAGGGGCCTCATTTAAAGGGGTCAATACCATCTTGCTTTTCTTTCTTTTGTTCTATTCTGTCTAAAATGATGATTGGATGGATTGGATGCATCGAAGATTTGCTTGGACAACACCCACAGTCCATCCAGGTTAATCGCAAAAAGGGTCACAAGAGCGTATGTCCGAGGTCCGTGTGTGCGGCCAACTTGCTTGCTATCCTTTGTTGTTCAA